AGGCTCACTTCTAAAAATTTTTTTTCTTAAAAGTCGAAGTCCCGGGAATCCCTGGGACTTTATATTAGACTGTCTCGTGTCCCGGGACTTAAAAATTGTCGGGAATTCCCAAACCCTAGTATCCACTCACCATCAGCTGGACTGTGTGCTCGTTTGTCACCCTTATTCTCCAAAAAAAACCCTATTGGGTCCCGTGGGTGCTATAAATATGGGAAATGCCAGAAAAACTTTATAGCTTCTGATAGATGGTATACCGTCTCTTTTCATCAAACATAAAATACCCAACGACGACGGGCAGCAGCGTCAAAGGTGAAAAGCCAATATACCCACCAGTGGACTTCATGTGTTGATAATGAAGAAGTACTTCTACTTTGTGAACACTGATTAGCATATCAAGGCCGCGTATCGTGTGTCTTCGTGTCCCTGACATCGAACTCAAACCTTTCTTTTTTTAGAATAAGAGTGACAAACGAGCACACGTGGTACGTCAAAACACAGATGTATAGTCTCCAGGGGGGCCCTCGCATCTGTGTTTCGATTCTTAATCGAGGATAAATGTAGATATCTATGGGCCACAGCATCCACTTACCATCAGATGCACTGTGTGCTCGTTTGTTACCCTTATTCTATAAAAAAAAAGTCCCATTCACAGTCCACCTGATGGTAACTGAATGTTGTGGCCCTTCGATCAACAATACCAACTAGATGTCGGATCGGCGCAAGAAACCCATCTCAGTACATAATAGCGCACATGAGACGTGAGCTCATGTTTAGTTTAGTTCACTTGAAACACAGCCAATGTAAACAGGTTTCACAATGCCGCAATGTGTATTTAAAAGTTGCAAGAATAATGCCCGAAAAAGTAATTTAACGGCCGGAGTGTCTTACTTTCGGTAAGTACATGTATAATATGTTATATTTTAAGCTCTAAGCTAACAAATAATATCATATTTGGAACAAAATCACCCCTACAAATGTTTTGCCAAGGTTGACCAATATAGGGGCAAACATTTGTGAAACAGAACATAGACGCGTGAAGTAGACTTGTATTGTAATAATTTTTAATAATTTGGTACCAAAACTTTAAATTTTTTATTATTTTATGGGAATTAGATACCTACTTAGCTTTTTATTTTAGCTTTCCTAGCAATCCGCTTAAGTGTGCAGAATGGAACTCTATTGTCGCCAGAGAAAGAAGAGATGACTTTTATAAGCCAGCTAAGAATTCGGTTATGTGTTCATGGAATTTAGTGATATTTTTATTTGTAACATACAGCTATTGACACCTTTGGCAGCCGTCAATATTACAAGCATGTGAAAAACAAAAAGCGTACTTGCAGTTTATTACTTTTTGTGTACAACACATAAAAACACTTATAAATAAAAATCCTATTATACACAAAAACATAAAATAATTAGTATTTTATTTATTCATTTTTCTTTATTGTACACAAACAAGTTTTTTTTATAGGATAGGGTATATACGAACACAGTCCACCTGACGGTAAGTGGTTGCTGTGGCCATCACATTTATCCTCGATTACGAATCAAAATGCAGATGCGTTGTCAAGCTTGAGGACTAAGATGGAATGCCTCGTTTCCAGTAAAAAGGGCAACACAGCAGCATTAAGCTACTATTTTACGCAGATATTCTGTGAGAGCGTGGTTCTTCCCCGGTCGAGCCAACCCATTCGTGCTACAACTATATTACTAATGTAATTGCAGTACACACATATATATATATATATATATATATATATATATATATATATATATATATATATATATAGATAAATACATGCTACGAACATATATACATACAAAAACTCAGATATATATTGAATTAGTTAATTAAATGCAATCAATGTACTACATACTATATTTTATTTTTTGACTGAAAGATGTATTCTGTAACTGTTACAGATTACCAGCGTAAATTAAAAGCATTTTGCAGCTATAGTCCGAAAACAATCTGATAATTTTTGGTGTTAACGTGGCACTCCATATTAGTCCAAAGTATAAATGAACATAAAGAAACTATTAACAATCGTTCATAAATTATCATCATCATCATCATCATCATTATCGCAACAGCTCTTCACAAATTCATTGCTAACTGGTCTATTCGTGCCGCAGCCGCTATACCGCTGTATCTTAACGCCACAACGTGATTAGTATAAGGTGCAAGAGGAAATATGTCAACGTTTCCCCAAATACCAACCTCATCAGCAAGCAATACATTCTACTGATTGACGGACGAGGCACTGGGGATCAACTGAATTAATTCATCGAAAATCACTTAGTCCATATTTAATTTATAGACTATTTTGTTACTTTTTTATATAAAATAAAGGTAACAAACGAGCACTCAGTCCACCTGATGGTAAGTATATGCTGTGGCCTCGATAATCCTCGATTAAGAATCAAAATGCAGATGCGTTGTCACCCCTCAAGATTTAGATGGAGTGCCTCGTTTCCAGTAAGAAGCAACTCGTTTGGTTTGAATGCGTAAAATAGCAAAAGGAAAGGGATGAAGCAGCATCACTAGTGTAATGCCACCAGCTAGCGTGGTAGCGTGGTGTTGGTGTGACAAATCTACCAAGTAATGGATAAGCCTATGTACAGCAGTAAATCTAATGGAGCTAATCTTGTAACGACAACAAAAATGGTATGGTCCTCAAAATATTTTTCAAACGATATTACCATTTACCACAAGACCATGTATAATAAATAATAATATATAAAATATTTTTCAAACGATATTACCACAAGACCATGTTTTTTGTTAAAATATTTTTCAAACGATATTACCACAAGACCATGTTTTTTGTTAAAATATTTTTCAAGCGATATTACCACAAGACCATGTTTTTTGTTAAAAAAAAGCGTTAACATCACAGTCGGTTTCGACTGTATCGTGGAGGCAGTTTACATACATAAATTGCATAAGGAAAAACATCCCCGCCTGTAAGAATTATTTGCGACCTTCTACGCCGCAACTTAATGGCACGCCATCATAACTTAGTCACGGCTCCATGGATCACCAATTCAGATGAAGTCTACATTTTGACATATTTTGGCTCCTTTTTTGCCTAAAAATCTGGTTCCTTTTATTTATACAGGGTTATTTTTCAAAGAGTAGCCAAATTTTAAACTCAAGTTCAAATATAGTAGTAATGATATAGCGTTATTGCATTTTTGAAAATACAAGTAAATAAGGTTTCTGTTCTAATTTGAAATTATCCCGAATGTGATTTATGGGCAACAACGTTTTTGCCTACCGATCGACCTTACGGGTTTTTGCGTGCGCATTAAAATCGGTTAAAATAATGAATTACCACGCATTTTGAATTTAAAAGATAAAAAGGACAGGATGTCTGAGATTTTTTTAGAAAATTTTCTTCATCTTTTGCCTGTATTACTTATTCTGAACCTTCTCTGCAAATTTGGCCGGTTATTGCAAAATAACCCAGTATCTGCCGCCAAATAGCAGTGTTTGTACTGTTGTATACTGGTCTGCAGGATATAAATAGCCAGCATATTACAGGCTTTGTGGAATACCTCCTTAGTCCTCAGAGCTGACAATTTCTTCGTTTCATAAAATCTTTACATTTTACATCTATAGGTATAAATAAAAATGTAAATGTTAGATTGCTTTGAACTTTTTGAATGACGCAACGTTGCATGCGAATACACGCGTGTTTTTAGAATATATATTTTTGCAGCAACATATGTCCCTGTACAGTACAGCTATTATAATAAATTTCAACCGTTTATTTAGATATATAACACAATTCAAACGAACTAAAAACGGTTTCCAAGAAAACATTCTAATAGAACATGTAATTTCTTAACAAAATAATATGAAACGGCAGTAACAAATTAAATCTATCGCCACCCGATTTAACCCTACGCGCGCTTGTTTGCGGAAATTGGCGCCATAAATCTATCAGGACGCCAAAGCTAATAAAAGTTTTTAATTATGTCTATTTTTTGTAACTAGCGCGCATTCGGTCAAACGATGATAAAGTCATTGCAAAAAATAGTCCAGAGCAAAATAAATAAATAACTTTAACTACTAATTAATATGGTTGATTGATCTGTTACTGTAATTATTTTGCAAATGTCTTGTCGTAAATCAAGGTACGTATAAAATTCTAAACGATTCCGTTAAATTCACGGATATTTATAATGGGTGAAGTGTGATTACGGTAGACGTCATATTATATTTTCTATCAACGAGTATTAGATATTATTTTTGTTTTATAATTCTATTAAATATCTCTATTAAAAATTACGTCTTCTATTAAAAAAAGTTCTGAGCATTTTTTTCTATAAATTTTGAATTGTTTTATTGCCAACGTGGTTTTGTAATTTTAAACAGCTAATATCGTCTTTCTTTCTTCCATAATAACCTGAAGCACAGTTTATCAGAGTCAAAATATGTAGGAGGCAATAACTGTCTTTGGATAAAACTACAAAAATATGCACTTGAAGTAGGAGTGGTATATAATCCTGGACACACTAATTTCAAGCAATTTCTCGAAGTATACGAATCATAATTACAAGAAAAAAGCAGAGCAACAGTTTTTGGTGACTTTAACCTTGATTTACTCACAAAAAATTCGGAGACCAAAAGATACAGTCATCTGCTAAAACAGACTGGATACAAGATCATAAATAAAATCACAAAAAATATTACACCAGACAAGGACATACAAAAAAGTCTATCCTAGATCATGTAAGCACCAACTTAAAGGAAGAAAACTTTCATATGGTATATGTCAACTCATCTTTTTCTGATCATAGACAGCTTTACGTGGAAATCAAGAAAACAAAACCGCCCCCAAAAAAAATTATCAATACGAAGCAATAAATTATAAGGAACTTCATAAATCAATGGAGAAAGCAGGAATACAAGAATCCAACGATGACTTCACAAGACTGGAAAAACTAATAAAATATGTATGGAAGAAAGCAAAGTAATAAAGACCAAAATTATGAATGAACCACAAAAAGAATGGACAAACAAAAGTATCATAACAGAGATCAATGACAGAAACTTGATGTGGACAGAACTACAGAACAACCCAGAAAGAGAAGACCTGAGAGAAAAGTTTATCACCAAAAGACATAAAATAATGAAGTTGATACGGGAAACAAAGAATTCATATTATAAGAAGGAATTCGACAAATACAGTGGAAAGCCCAAAAAGCTATGGAATTTACTCAATATCCTTACAAATAATAAATTTAAACAAAGATGCGCTCCTCCCAAACTTATTGTTAATTCAATAGAAGTTACTGATCCTCATGAGATATGCAATATATTTAATAAATTTTTCGCTACTATAGGGCCATATTTAGCTGACGAAATACCTATTCAGTTCCATGTAAATTAAACTCACGTGCTACCAAAACCACTTTTACAAAATTTGCAAATGAATAGTTTAGACCCATGCACTGAAGAAGAAATCCTTAATATTATTAACAAACTTGATTCAAACAGTAGTGTCGGTCTAGATGGTATTAGTACAAAAGTTATCAAGTGTGTGAAGGACTTAATAATAAATTCATTAACGAAAAACTTTAACAAACTTTTACAAAACGGATCATTTCCAGACTCACTTAAAATAGCCAAAGTAACACCTATTTACAAATCGGGACCAAAAACAGAACCGGGCAACTATCGACCAATTTCTGTACTGCCAGTATTATCAAAAATCCTCGAAAAAGTCTTACATACACGGCTACAAAACTACTTAAATTCTATAGATGTCTTTTTTGATAGACAGTACGGATTTCGTTCTAAAAGTAATACACTCACAGCTACAATTGATCTGGTAACTAAAATCAAACAAAACATTGATAACAAAAACATCGTACTAGGAGTATTCATCGATTTAAAAAAGGCGTTTGACACCGTAAGTCATAAACTGCTCTTAAAAAAACTGGAAGTCATTGGTATTACTGGCATAGCCTTAAAAATGTTTGAGTCTTACCTCACGAATAGATCCCAGGTCGTTAAAATAGACAGTAGCACTCAAAGTCCCACACAACCCATAACCTATGGAGTTCCACAAGGTTCAATATTGGGTCCTCTGCTCTTTTTAGTCTATATTAACAATATGCATGACTTGGGCTTGAATGGCAATATCACACTTTACGCCGATGACACTTGTCTTTTTTACTTTGGTTCTTCAATTCATGATCTTGTCTTTCAAGCCCAGCAGGATCTTGACATTCTTCGCGATTGGTTACAATACAATTTACTAACTATCAATATTTCCAAAACTAAACTACCTACTAACTACATAATATTTAAAGCAAAAAATAAACCTATACCTAATTTCTCACCTCTTAAAATAAACAATACACCATTGCAAGAAGAAACTAATGAAAAATATCTTGGCCTTCATTTGGATACATATTTAACATGGAAAGTTCACATTAAATATTTAATAACCAAATTAAGGTCACTTCACGCCTTACTTCGGATTAATTTTCGATACATACCACAGAAACTACGTTTCACAATATATAATTCCCTAGTTAAACCACACCTGTTATATCTCATCGAGGTCTGGGGAAGCACTGCCAGTACTAGATTAAACAAATTATAAATCCTACAAAATAAAATCATAAAAATGCTATTCAACTACAATTTCCGAACGTCAACTTCAAAAATGTTCCGAGAGACGAATCTGATGAATATCAAACAATTATACATTTACAGCACATGTATCTTTATTCGCAAATCCATGAACAAGAAGGTCCGCACGGATCTGCAATTCACCAAGCGAAAAAAAGTTGGGTGCATCTGCACTCGACGCGCAAGCTTCATTGTTTTGCCTAAAACTCGAACAAAGTACGGCCAGACCACAATTACATGCGATGGTTCGCGCCTTTTTAATAAGATACCCTCGGAAATAAAAATATGTAGACTCGTTCAATGTATTCAAAAAGCGACTAGCAAACCATATAATCACAAACATATCTATCTGAGTGCGTTGGACTGGTTTGTTTCCCGGTCTTAGTATTGTGGTGCTAAGGTGATAGTGTATACTAGAATTTAACTTTTCTTTTATTTGTATAGATTTTTCCCGTCAATAGCTGATTTTGATGTTATTTATTTTTCAACAACATAGGTACGACAATGAATTTTGTTATTTAGATTTACTTTTATTTATGTTCTCATGTAAGTGTCGTATAAAATGTCTTTATGAGAATAAATGTCTTTAAACATAAACATTCTTTGGTAATGGATTCATTATTGTACTTTTTCCAGTATCAACCAAATATTTGAATAGATTCGCACAATTTCCGTTTTCCTGTAATTATTTCGTGGTATCTTCTGACATCGGAATAAAATAAATTCAATATTTAATAAAATATAGATACTTACGAGTGAAATGTTACACCTTGGGCTTTATTTGTGTTTCTGGTATTAATATTGTACTTTTGAAAGGCACACGATGGCATTCTGAGTTTTTTTTTTTTTTGGTGAAATCAGCGCGTTAGTTCCAATGTGCAACATCTGGCTGTCACCGCGCTCAAATGAGCACTGATTGCAAATGTGTGAGCTCACTCATTTGAAAATAAATAGATGTTAGTGCTGTTAGTCTATGCGACTCTTACAGCTTCATCTGTCTCAAGCTGTAAGAGTTAATGGAGATAGTATCGCAAGGTGCTTAAGCAGACAGACATATTATTTTTACGTTCACATCACCATCGAAGCAATTGTTTCCACAAACAGTTCAAATGAGTAGATATTTTTAATACACAAAATCGGACCACATTTACGTATCAAAATCCACTTCAAACCATTATTTAAACAATAATACAGGAGCGGCAATCCGGCAGCGGTGATGAGACACTTTTTCTGCCTCAGAATTCATATCGGCTCATCATTATTGATCTTATTATCACTTATGTATCGTGAAACCTGACATCTTTGCCATTTTTGGAAGTACTTGAAAGTTTAGGACCAATTTTCTTATAAAACGGTACTCTCAGACTGGGCGTCAATGGTAAAAGGGACATTATACTCGTATTCTTCATAGATTTCGTATTTATTAGTGATTTAAACAAATACTAAAATACGAAAAAGTAGAAAATAGTTTATATTTTAAATTATAGGAATTGACTTCAAGGTTGAAGGTATGTTTACCTCATAATACAATACACAACACTCAGGGTTATGATTTGGGGTTTTTGGCCGGGTTTCAATCGTGCTGCATATTATAATAAAATTTACGCTAGTGACAAAGTTGCCCTCCCATTTTTCAATTTTTCATATAAATTTGATAATGTGTGTCGGGTCTGTCAAAAATGTTTGATTACGTACTTTACTTAATTTCTTTATTTAAATCTTTTCACAGTAAATTCTTATACAAAAATCTAAAATATGTCAAAAAATGCTCTCCTCTAAAATTAAAGGTCAAATTGATACAATTAAGCTTAAATCAATTATAGTAAATATAGATCACAAATAAAGCTTATCATAATCATTTTAACAAGTACCTATTTATTTTTTTATTAGTTATCATCATTATTAGAGTACGATAAAAAAATAATTATAACCAACCTAAATATTGTTTCCCAAAATAGCAAAACATTTATGATATTTGAAAATGACACTGTTAAAACTGTCATTTTCACATTTTTTTCTATATAGTTATTTGTTACAGAGCACACAGATAAAATTCACTCTCATAGATGACAAATTTCAAACACCACAAACACACACGAACGGAACCATGTCGTTGAGAGCCGTGGTTGCTCACATGGTTAGCGCTCGTTATAAGTATCGCACTACGGGAGCAACCCGGGTTCGATCCCCACTGGCACCAATGAAATTGTTACGTGCTGATTTAGCTATCAGTTGGAAAGTCTGTTTTTCTGGGCCGTTGTGTTTTGTTACACTGACATCTCGCAAGTCACCTAGGGACCTAGGAGGTTGTCGGTTGCTTATTTTTTATTTTTCTTTAAAATTTTCGTCGGTAAAATAATATATTTATAAAAGTAAAAAAAGTTAAGTTACAGCCTATATACGTCCCACTGCTGGGCACAGGCCTCCTCTAATTTCTGAGAGGGTTTTAAGGCAAGGAAATGTCCGCCACGCTGCCTCAATGCGTGTTGACGAACTTCACATGTCTTCGAAATATATACTTTTTAATTTCTCAGACATGCAGACCCGAGTTCGATCCCCGCCGGCACCAATGAAATTGTTAATTGCAATTGTGCTGATTTACCACGTGCTCGGCGGTGAAGGAAAACATATTGAGGAAACCTGCACGTCTGAGAATATAATTATAATCGAATGTAAATCAAATTGACATAGGTAAGTACAGACAAAATTAGCGGAATATTAATAAAATTTTGACATCGGTTTTTTTTTCAAAATTTTATTTATATTCCGCTATTTTTGTCTGTGCTTATATCAATTTGATTTACATTCGATCTCTAAATTGTAGTTTGCGAGGGTAACGGGGATCTATCAGCTCCGGCAAAACACATTTCTGATAAAAGCTATCTAATTTTAAAATTTTGTCTGCCGTCCAAAACGCATCATCTCTTTCAATAATATCAATTTCTATGCCAAACAGAGTAGTATCGAAATCCAAAGTTCAAGCAGGGGTCAATGTAGCGTAGTAATTTAGAGCGTAGGTATAGCTATAGTCATACGAACGTCACAGGCCGCAGCTGACTGAGTCGAATAAAACTAGAATAAGCGCGCGTCACCGCGCATGCATGTGTGTGTAAGTGTCGTCCTCCCGCACCGCACCGGGGGGAAACATTATTCAGTGAGACGCACGATAATTCATATAAAAACGCGCGCGTAAAAAAAATACGAAAAGGCCTTTGGAAGAAGGGGTTTTATGAAAAAACCACTCCATAAGTCAATTACAAATAAAATGTATTGAATTCTTCGATAATTGAGCTGTGTCGGTACCGAATTTGTCTTGGAAATTTTACACTGCTTTTATTACTAATTTACGCCCAAAGTTGTGTTAAAATTGGCAATAAAAACGAATCTTTGATAGCTCGTAACTTTTTAATGACTTTTTATTTTACTATTCTGTTTCCGTACAGACAAAATTAATAATGAGACAAAACGATATCATGTTTAACTGTCACTTGTATGTACTGTTGATGTACACTGTCAAACAGCGGAGTAAAACCCCTCCGAAATTTCTATGGAAATAATGTCCACTAGTGTCAACTTAAGCAGGAGAATGAATTAAAAACTATGTATATTACGGGGATTCTGGATAATTTGTAATATGGAGGGTAGTCCTGATTGGTTTCCCTCCATCTGGCAATATACGAATATTTGTATATCGATATATGGTAAATTTTCAAAGAAATGAGTTAAACACTATCTTTGAAATTGTTTAAT